GTGTATTCAGGGGTAAAAAGATTAGAGGAGGAGAACACTTATTTATTTTTTTAATTTGACCAGAGCAAGAGAGAGAGAGAAAGTGAGAAAGCAAGCCACCAGGTCCGGGATTCAAACCATGGTTGGCCTTAACCACCATGCCACCTGCTGGTCCCGGAGAACACTTATTCAACATCATGGTAAACACTGGATACCAGGAGGGAAAACTGAAGTATTCTGGAATTAAAATAATTTTTAAACATGTATCAAAACCTAAAAACTGGGGCCAGCAGATGTGGTCATTAAGTCACGAGACTCCCACATGGCCAACCCCGGTTCAAGCCCTGGACTTGGCAGCCTGAAGATCACACCGGGCGCGTGCTCAACTGTGTGTCCCAAATCCTGAGAGGAGAATGGAGGAAAGGGGATTGCGATGTGGCCATCCCTCTTGGCGGATGATTTCTCACTTTCCCGCTCACCAGCTCTGTCTTTCTCCGGAGAGTGCGGTCTGCTCAGCTGAGTATTACTGGTTTTTCAACAGCACCAAGATACATTGCAAAATGCGCCCCCTCCTGCCTTGCGTTGCTTAGAGTAATTTTCAGGACTGTTTAGCAGTAAGGGGATGATAATCCTCTGATTGTCTTCTCTTCCTACACATGAATAAGGTGAGTGAGATGTTAGGCCTGGGCCCCCTTAATAGAGACGGGGGATTTAAAGCACTTACCCAGAATAGGCAATGGTCTTTTAGAACTAAAATAGAATTGTCTGTTTGGAAAGTATTTCGAGCCCGCCCTCAGCTGGCTAGAAGGGCAAAGGCCTTTACGATCAGAGCCTGGGTGTCTCACTGCAGTCCTGGCTTTCAGCTGAGCATGGTCTGCCGGGAAACCACGAATGCTGAGCCCTGTTCTAAGACAATCAGACCAGACAGAACAGTTACCTCATCACAACCGAAGTAGAGCAGATAAGCCTCCGATTATAGTCTGGCAAAGGCTCACTGGGCTTCAGAGTTGTTTGGAACAGATCTGAGACTGTTAATTACTACCTAGATGACTTAAAAGTAGCCTGGAGGGTGAGGTGACAATCTGCGTTCCCGCCCACCCTGGCAGGCCCTGAACAAATATCCCAATAACGCGGACCCAGGTACTTGTGAGGAGACCAAGGACACAGAGGTCACTGCGGGACTCTGGTGCACCCGGTGTGGCGGTAAAACTGCCTTGCCCGTGTCTGGGAATAAAGCCTGTGTACCTCATGGAGGCAGCAGATGCCTACGTAAAAGTAAGCAGTCAAATCAGCGTAATAGAAACTGAAAAGCAAAAGAAAATTTGGAGAGAAACAATTATAACCTGCTAAAGGTCAGTACCTGAGAGTTAAAAGGAGAAGGATGCTGCTTTCAGCCGGCCTGGTCGCTGGTTCCTTTTACTGCTCAGCATCTCCTTAATTCACAGAAAGCTTCCGGGTGGGGAATCCCTTCCCTAGGATTTAGGTGAAAACAATTCCCCTCAGCCTGTCCGCCGAGATGGGCCTTTGAATGGGTCTAGAGTACTGCTCACTTAACTCAGGCACTGCAAACGGCAACTGGACGCAGAAGAGGAAGCTACGCAGCACCTCAGCACGAAGAGACTGCAAACATCAGGGTCGCCATTCCCCACCCAGCAAACGCAGGGTTTTCCTCTTCCCGTTTCTGAACAATACAAGTTGAACAACCTTAATCCAAAAATCCAAAATGCTCCAAAATTGAAACCTATTTTTTAAAAAGAGTTATTTTTTAAAGATTTATTTTGTTTTGTTTTGTTTTTTAAATTTTGCTAGAGAGAGAAGAGAGAAAGGGAAAGTGAGAAAGCAAGCCACCAGGCCGGGACATGTTCCATAGGTGGCCATATGGGAGTCTAGCTTCTTAACTACCATGCCACCTGCCAGCCCCTAAAAAGAGTTATTTAATTTTATTATTATTATTATTTTCATTTAACCAAAGAGAGACAGAGAAAAGGAAAACGAGAAAGCAAGCTGCCAGATTCAGGACTTGAACTGCAGTCAGCCCATGTGGGAGTCCAGCACCTTAACCATCATGCCACCTGCTGGTCCCACATGGAAACCTTTTTGAATGCTGACATGGCACCACAAGTGGGGAATTCCATACCTGACCTCATGTGAAGGGCCTTCTAGTTCAAAATATTGTATACAGTTACCTTCAGGCCATGTGTTTAAGGTATATATGGAACAAATGAATCTCATATTTAGCTTGAGCCCCGTTTCCTACATACCATTATGTGCATGAAAATGTCCCAGGATCTGAAATGCACAACACTGGTCCCAAGTATTTCAGATGAAGGTCACTCTATTTGTACTCAGGGTTGAAAAAGTAGGAAAATGATTGCTCTGAAAACATTTGATACAACTTTTCTTTGGGCAATGTGACAATAACAAAATCCTGTATAATATACTCCTCCAGTTCTTCAGCTCCAATGTGATAACTAGTTAGAGCAAGAATCAGCAATACTGACGTGAAAGGTCGTGGAACAGACAGGAGCCCATTTTTATAAGGGAGAGTTCTGGTGAGCATAGCTTAACTAAAGACTCACATTTTGCATCACTAATAGTAAAAACCATTTTCAGTATCTTGTGATGCGACCCAGTGAAGCACGCATCACTGTGAAAGAGTCTCACCCAATATAATCAAGCCCCAGACCTGGCATGATGGTTAAAGTGCTAGACTCCCACTTGGGCTGACTGCAGTTCAAGTCTTGCATCTGGCAGCTTGCTGTCTCACTTGCTTCTGTCATTAGTTAAATGAAAAAGTAATAATGAAACTATATAACTAACTGTCAGGGTACAGGAAATACCGGAAGTGGAGGAAGGCTCATGGGCACTTTGAGGAAGTGGACAAATCCAGGACGGAAGACATTATATAAAAAGAGGGAGCTTTGGGGGCCAGTAGGTTGCTTAGAGGCTAAGGCACCGGATTCCCACATAACCAACAATGATTCCAGTCCTGGACCCAGAACCCTGGAGAATGGAGAAGGGATTGCTGTATGGCCATCCCCCCTGAGGTGGGGAAGTTCTCACTTCCCCCTCTCTCTGTCTCTCTTCGGAGAGCTGAAGTGCCCAATGGCAAAATCTAAAGGGGGGAGGGGGACTTTTAAATAAATACGGACATAACCAAACCAAATATAATGCATGAAACCTGACTGAAGATCTCATGATGCCTGGAATTTCCTATTCAGCATAAAAAGTGAGGAGGGAGGGTGGCGGTGGGGAAGCTCATGAAAAATGCCTCTCGTGAAAAAACTGCAAGACTTCTGAACTTCTTTGCTCCCAAGGATATGTGAAATTCCATGTTTCCATGGACTTTCTGAAGTCCTCCCCTATAGACACATACTTACAGTAAGAAAATGTAGTAGAGGCAACCCTCCAGCCAGTAGTTTAAAGGAGCCAGATCCCTCATGGCCGACCACGGTTCAAATCTCAGGCCCCATGGCATGAAAAATGCAAGGATTGTGTACTGCCTGCCCTAAATCCCAGCAGAATGAAGAAATGAGGAAGGGATGGCAGTGTGACCATGCCCCGCCGCAGGTGCTTTCTCCCTCCCTCTCTCTGGTTAGTGCATAGACCCCCTGGCTATTAAATATGTGGTCAAAAGCTCATCATTGAGCCTAGGCGGGAGACATGTATGTAAACGTTGTATTATTCTGCTCTCTATATATGAACATTTTCAAACAAGAGGAAAAACATCCTTCCACGTCACAATCCAGTTCTGGGACTCTTAACAAGGAAACAGTTTGAATTTGCCCAAATGTATTGTTTCAGGGAATCACAGAACCATTCTTTTTAATATTTTCAGTTTAGAAATAATGCTTAACAAGATGTTTGCTTAAATATGCTGGCATGTCTGTACCTGGACATTTAAAGTTATTAAAGGAGGCCAGAAGGTGGCATGGTGGTTAAGGCACCGGACTCCCACATGGCGAACTACAGTTCGAGTCCCAGACCTGGTGGCTTGCTTTCTCACTTTTCTTCTTTTTCTAGCCAAATTTAAAAATAACAAAATTAAATACCTCTTTAAAAAGTACATTAAAAAATAAAGTTATCAAAGACATGGAAAAGTTTTGTGAAAAAGGTTAAAGACCCAGAAGAGATTTGATGATCCATCTTTCCAGGCTCAGTTCACAGCAGATCTCCTCCCTATGGTTTCTCATAATCAACGAAAACACTTCCTTTCTCCACAGTGGCCGTGTGAGCCCCCCACACAGCAACTGGTGTCTGGTCAGTTTTACTGTACGCTTGCTGCGGGGGTCCATGTTTATAATGGAAAGTTCTGCTGAGCATAGCTTAACCGAAGACTCACATTTTGCATCAGGACCGAGAGAAGCAGAGGTTGAACTGCTGTGAGGGCCACGAGAAGAGCAGGGGTGAGCAGCCAGGTCCTCCTCGGTGCTCAGGGGGAAGCCAGAGAGTCAGACCTGGGATAGGGTGGGGCGGTGAGGGGAGGGAGTCAGCCAGCACTGCCGTTTGTCTAATGGGACCCTGTGATCTTACTGAGTAGACACCAGATCGACACAGTGCGACCCTGAGAGGGGAAAACCTGGGCTCGAATTCAGGGAGTCAGGTTTCAGAGCCTCGGGCCTTTCCAATCCCTGGAAACCACAGAGGTAGAATATTATTTCTTGAGGGCGGTAAAGGGAGAAGAGCAGGAAGCTTCGAATTCCTTTCAATATCAACCTTCTGCAAACTGACCTGCCCGGCAGATAAACGGAAAACATGCAAACTCGGTCTCTGCTGCAGTCGCTATCAGGATAAAGCCACGTCGGTGATGGCAGCTAATTGGTCTGTGTTGGGGCCTTGAAAATAAACCAGACGTGAGGATGACCGACCTCCTGGTCACCTCTCTCCCTGCTGCAGCAGGAAAGCCATCTGAGGATGAGGGCGTGTCACTCCACCGGAACTCTCCCGGGCTACAGACGACAGCCAGACAGCAACGTTAGGAGCTACTTTATTCAGGCAAAACAGAAGGCATAGATTCCATCTTAATGATTTCTCTGAATTTTTATTGATTTTTTTTTGTTTGTTTTACAGCTCAATCCTCTTGTGAAAAGGAAAGAATTGAAAGATGAACAAGTCAATTACATTTTTTTTAAACAGCAATTAATCCTCATTACAGAGAACATCAAACAAAAGATCTGTGGCACATTATCTTTGGAAAGATCTTTTGTAAGTTTTTTTTCCTTACAAAAAAAAAAAGATCAAACTATAGTTTCCTCACAGATCGTGTATGTCTCTTTCAAAGGACTATACAAGGCAGCTAAATTTTATGCACAAAAGCCCCAAGTTGCAGGTTCATTGCTAACATCGATAAAATACACGGAGTCCCCCTCCCGACTCTGTGTTGCACATCTTCCCAGCAAGAGCACTGCTGTGTCCCCACCCGACGTACAAAATCCTTGTGTTGGTGACAGCTGGCACATTATTCCACAGTAATTAAAGGAAAACTCATTGCTTCAAAGACCAGTGATGTTCATTTATCAACTGGACGATTCACTCCTTTTTAAACAATTTTAATAATACCAAGATTCAACTTTCTCTAAAGTTATAAGAAAGCAAAAAATATATAATATAATATAATATATAATGGTAATAAATAAAAAAGGCAACCCTGCTCAGGTATCATCCAAAACATGATCACATTCAGGAAAAAAGAAGAAGGAAAAAAAAAAAAAAACAGAAGAGTCAGGATACACACGTACACACACGCACACATACACACACGCACATACACACACACACCCCAACGTGAACAGTGTATACTTGATTTCTCAGGGGGATGTGCAGTAATTTTAACAATACATGCTGATGGCCTGAACAAAATGTGAAGTTAATACTGCCTGTGTTAAGCATCACTTAGACATCTACTTTCAAGCAAAGCAAGTGATCTTCCTTAGGTAGACCACCACCTGGTCCACCCAGCGCAGCTCGGCTGGCCTTGCCATCAGTGGTTACAAGCCCTTGTTCTCCCAGGCCAATATATCAACATACGGGTCACAAGGAGACATCATGTTCTCTCCCTGCCCTCACAGGCTCCCACCTAGGTAGGCACCTCTCTACCCAGCACAGTACCTGCCGACAGCTGTCACGCCATGAAACAGAGCACAGAGCAATTTCCCCTAGGACCATCAGAAAGGACAGCCACTTCAAGCAAAGGTGGATGGTATCCACCAGCTCATCATAGATGAGAACTAAGACCATGGCTGTGATCATGAGTCACGAAGAGATGTGCGTTCTCGATCGCCAAGAAACTAACACACGTGGACCGCGTCATGATTGAGGCTTACGTGGTAGAAACACCACTTGCAATGCCAGAAGGAAAATCCCCCACACCATGTCACTCTGCCATTACACTCTCCCCCAAGAAACCGATGACAAATAAAGGCACAGGGCAATACCTGACATCCATCAGTTCTACATCGGACCCAGAACAGGGTACAACCCACTAGAGGAAGGAGTACAAAGAACAGGAGCCACCATCACCAATCCTGGCATCCCTCCACAGCCACAATGTGGGTAACTCACTTTCCAGTGAGGAAATGTATACTTCCGTGTGTCTAAAAGAAGCCCAAATATTTCTGCAAGATTTAAATACTGCTAATCTGTGGTAGAGGGTATAATCAATGAAGTGGTAAACTTTTTCAAAGACATTTTGTAGTGTTTGGGAAAACCATTAAGAAAAAAGTAGAGAAAATCTGTGATAGGAAGGAGTTTTTAAAAATTCATTAAAAAAAAAATCCAAACATCAAACCTTATTTGGTTCATTTTCCTTATACTGCGCAAATACTCCTCAAACTTCTTACGGTAAAAAAGTTAAAGGTTCAAGACTCACCTGACATCCCTCGAAGCCAGGGAAAAATTAATACAGCATTTCAAAATTAAACTTGGTCAACAAAGGCACAATAAATTGATCCAATTTAATGAGCTCCTATTCTCTGTAAATATGAGAGTGTGTGTATGTGTGTGCATATATATGTATATATATAAATATATTCTTTTGTATATCAGAGAGAATAGTTCATTGCAGAGGACACAATTGTTTTCTTTTTACTTCTAAAAATTACTGAACAAGAATAATAAAATAAGAAGCTCCTGATTTTACTAACATTAATATGCAATGTACCAACTAAGGCAACTTTTTAGCCAGAAAGGGATAGAGTTCATTAGAATCTAAACATCCTGAGATGTGGCATTAACGGCTACAGAACAAGAGAGATAAGTACGGCAACCTGTCTAAAGGAAGCAGCTACACATTTTGGTCAAAACAGATCTATAAAACAAAGGTCCTTTTGTTAAAAAAAAAAAAAAAAAAAAAAAAAAGGAAAAGAAATTAGATGCTTTTCCCATTCAGTATTGTGATCAATTCATAATAATAGTCAAATCATCCTACTATAATCCTACCCCTGATAACTGGAGCCTTCCTACTTCACTGCCCTGACATGTGGCCAATGTTTTTGTAAAATATAATTTTAACTCAGAGTAATCTGTATATTTCAGTAAAGTGTTGTTCATTATTTAGCAGGGCTCCTAAATTGATTCACATTTTAATTATTGCCCGAAAAGATAGAAACATTCAACACTTTTAAAAGCAAAATAGTATTCTTCCTTTTCCTATCTCATGCTCTCTCTCACATACACTTGTAGTGCCAATGACAAGACTTATACTATTTTCACTCCTTGTTTCATATCTGTCTCACTGTGAAGTGTGTACTATTATTATTGTTATTGTTACAAGGGACTTCACATATTCAAAGGCTTAATCTTATCATCCAGTCCATTCCAATTATCTACCCCGTCAGCTTTTGCTGTTGGGAATTATATGCATGCAATGAAAAAGTGCGAATGGTGTTAAGAAGTCCTTCAGATTTCAATATACAATGGTAACATTCAAAAGACCTTAGGAACATTAAGGATTCATCAGCCACTACCTTTCACACCCTGTGGTGGAAAAGGCAGCCTCTCAGAATTCTCTTTCAGGTACAATGTGTGTTGCGGTAAGAATGGGGACTACCCAATGACCAGAATAGTACAATGAATCTACGCACATTTGTAAGTTTGTAACAAATTGGCTAGACAAATAATATGTGGACATAGCATTCAGAAGAAGGAAAAAAAGACCCCACAAAGAATAAGGCCACTGAAAAATGCAATCTGTTCTTTTAGAATTGGCTGGGAAATCAACTTGGATAGTCTTCAGTCAGGGAGCACTGCGGCCTGTGAAAGAACAGTCTGCAGACCCACCTGTCATGAAAAAACGCACCTCACCGTGGACAAGTGGCTTGTTCTAGGGAGTCAGAAGGGAAAGGGGAAGGGGGTGGTTAAGGGAAGGAGGAAAAGAAAGACTTTCATCACGAAAGCTAGACTGGGGGCCTTGTCCCCACAGAGAAGAGATGGGCACACGACCTCCCAAGCGGTTATTGTTCATTCCACAAAAGGCTTTTTAAACTGGTAGTTGAGAAAGGGCCATGGCTTTGCTTAAAAAACATCAGTACATCAAATCGGTTCATCAGGATGCCACATTAGGTCTTATGCTCACACGCGACTGTGCTGCCACTCTCCGGCTTTAACCCTCAACACGGGGTCACTGAAGGAACAGCTTCACACAAACAACTCATCCTGGGGAAGAGTAGCATGGCTCCCATCCTCCACTCATCGCTCTGAGTACTACCAAACTACCAAGAGAGTTTTCTCTATACATACATGTAATCACGTGAAACATGCTTGGCAGGAAACTACGTGTAGCGGGGCAGAACAGGGTGAAGGTGGAGGAAGGAAACCAATTCAGGGTGGGGATAACACTCACTCCTCAACTTTAACACATGTGCAAATCCTACTTGTTTCTAAAGGGGAGAAAAAGAATTGGTTTTCAAAAACACTGCACTCAAAATAACATTTCCAATAATAACCTTTTGAAGTTTCCATGAAAAAGGAAATCTGTGCTTTTGGGCAGGTGGGAATTCTACATTTTACTTTGGGTCATTCAGGATGCACTGGGATTAATGCACCCAGTCTGGTAATAACCTACGGGAAGACCACGGTTCCTCTTCAACGTCATCAGCTCTAGTTGACCGAGAACACTCAAGAGTGAAGGCATGTGGTGAGGGTTTTTTTAAAAAGTCTAATTTACCACCCCAATCTCCGCCTCCCCTCAGGAAGTTATTTCCCCTAAACAATCAAGGGCTCTGAAAGTTTAGTTTTGCTATAAATATAAAATAATTTGTAGCAGAAAAATATAGCCTCTCTAAGAAGTAGATTTCATTTTTCTTTGTTCACTGACAAAACTCAGAGTTGGTCAGACAACATGAGTTACCACATAGCTGTAGACCACAGATCAGCACCTCCAATTCCAGCTCAACTTAAACATGAAAAAGCACTTTTGCCATCTGGTCAGGTATAAGTGTTGGTTCCCTTCTTCCCCATGGTAAGAAATTCAGAAAACAGTCAATGGTGACCACCTTGCTGGAGAGTCCCTTTCACTGAAGAGGGAGCAGGAACAGGGCCCTTGCGATGGCTGCCATGTGTACCCGGCTTCTCTCTCCACTGCTCCAACTCGGGGTGCCTCGGTACAACAGAGAAACCAGAGCTGGGAAGATGTGCGGTGCTCTCGGGGATGCGGTGGGAGAGAGGGCCGGCCTTCAATGTCAGAAATTCTGACAGCGCTTGGTATTACCAACGCCACTGTTCATTGGCAGAAAGTGGGGTACAGTGGAGTCCTTCACAATGTTTTACAGATGGCCATCAGAATTTATTAAACAAATGTTTTCTCTAAAACTTAAAAGAAAACAAAAAGTTGTCCACGAAACCCTTCACCAAAAATTATCATTAAAAAAAATTTTCTTCTGGGAATGGACTAGTGTGGTTAACTGAGATGAGATGGGAATTTGCTTTCAGAGTTGAAATTGCTTCTCCTTATTTCATGTGCAATTTGCATCCTGCTGGTTAAAAATATTTCAGAAATGTTTCCAGACCATTCATTCGTCCATTCAGGCTACATTGCACTTCTGTCCTTTATTTAGGAAAGGCAGGATCATCTCTGGGCTGGCCTCCTCATCTCTGTTTCTGCATAATGTTAGTGTCCAGCCAACGATCACACAGTTCTTGGGCATTTATGTGGACAAGTGTCCTGGCCATCTCATGGTGCTTTTCCTCTCTCCATCACTATGGTGTCCTGATGAGACAAATGTCTGGGCTGTTTCTGAGGCTTCCAATGTGCAAAATATGTCCTCAAGGCATTGAATCAATTGGGCCTCCATTAAGGTGTTTTGGTTGCTTGTTTCAGCTGCTGAAAACCCTGTCTTGCGTAGTGTACCAGGTCCACCAGACTGCTGTTGAGGGCCAAGGTGCACGTGTTTGTGCTGAGCTGAGAAAAGAACTCTGCAAACAAAACACCACCAATTAAGTATGCCTACACACACAAATGAAAATGCAAACACAAAAAATCAAGGTTCCAGAAACTATGTCCTAACAGTCTGCACTCCATCTATCACAGCTCAAAACATATTCTACCATTAACTATCTGCCAATTCTCCATATCCTCTCACTAGACTAGACAGATGGGAACCAGGTTTACTTTAGAATCAAATTCATAATGCCTAACATAGTGGCTGGCACTAGGAAATCACTCAAGTTATACCTTTAAAAAAATTTAATTTTATTATTACTTTTTTTTTTTTTTAATTTGACCAGAGAAAGAGGGAATGTGAGAAAGCAAACCACCAGGCCTGGGACTCAAACCACAGTTGGCCATGTGGAAGTCTAGCACCTTAACCACCATACCACCTGCTGGCCCCAATTTATACTTTTTGATTAATGGATGCATGAGTTGGGGTGGGGGGGGGCCTTCATTATTAGAAGTGTTATTAGTTTCCTAAGAAGGATAAAGCCCTAGGAAGCTGTGGGGTAATGAAGTGGCCATGGCCAGCTGGCTGCCTAGTTCCCCACATCTAGGAAGAAATACACACTGGCCCTAGCCTCACATTCATGAGCATTTACTTCGTGGTCATAAGCCTGGACACCAAGCAGTTCCCCCGACTGTGTGCTCTACCACTCTGAAACTTCAGATATCTCCAGGGCCTTCTGCCCCAAACAAGTCTCCAGAAGGTTTACTATGCCGTTTCTGGTACAGCAGCCGACCGTCTTTCCTAACATTCGCTGAAGACAAACTGAGCACTGGGCAGTGCCCCTCCACATCTCCAAGGCGTCCTGACCAGGAACAGCTAGTGCCTCTCCTTCTTTGTCTGCCTTGCCCTCTGCTAGTGTTTCCCTTCAGACTGAAATAAAGACACCAGCCCTTCTGAAGGGAAAGGGTGCTACTGCTACTTCTAGTCTGGATTTACTAAGCCACAGACTCCAGCTCCATGCAGAACTCGAGGAAGAAATGCAACTAGGTAATGGGCAGAATGAGAAAAGACGAGCAGAGTAAGAGCTGCGAATAACAACATGAAGTAATAACATAACGTACAAGCCAACGACGCTATCCTTCCCAACCGCCACCCCAGAGCCACTCACCTTTATTCTTCCTCGCGAGGGCCTCAGCCTGCTCCCAAAGATCGAAGGCGGTGAGGATGTGGGAGGTGATGGTGACATAGGAAGACGTCATGTTCTGGATGGTGACTGGGGTGCTGATGGTGGGAGTCAGCCCGCTGTTCCCCACACTGCCAGCACTTGACTGGGACCCTACAGAACTGGCAGGAGAAGGCATTGGGGACAGTGGGGATGGTGCGCCTGTGCTTCTGGAAGGTGGAGGGGAAGAGAGAGAACTGGTTAATCACCCTGACCCCCAGATCACAGCTCTCCTGTCTCTGGACCTGAAATCCAAGTCACAGTTTCCTGGCGCACCTGCTGCAGTGCTCAGGCCATTTCTATGAGGTCAAAGAGACACCCCAGTGGGCTAACTGTATTTCAAATACGCCTTCCTGGGCCACATGCATAGTTTAGTTCTTTGGCCTGGCACTCCTCCCACCTGTCCAACTTATCCTAGTAGGACACCACCACTCTCTCTCTCTCTCTCTCTCTCACACACACACACACACACACACACACACACACGGGGGTCTTCAAAAAGCACAAGAAAAATACCTTTTATGTGAAAACTTTGAATGGATTTCACAGTCTTGCACCAAAATAAACTCTTACTTTAATTCTGTTTTTCCACGAACTTCTTTTTAAAGTTTATCTACTGGGTCATTGGCAAAGTCATGACACACATTGTTGCATAGAAACAGAAAAATAAGTCATGTCTGATGACCCAATATTTCTCCATGAATGAGACAGAGAGACATTCAGACAGACAGTGGCCACGCCAGGGTGCTCATGCCATGACCCACCCAGTCCTCCGCCAGCTCTGGATCACGGGCAAGCGAACACCCAGCGGACTCAGGGAGGTCTCCAGGCTCGAACAGGGACCTTTCCGTGTGAGACTGGACTGCTGTGCCACCCTCTGGTCCCTTCTGACCTTTGTGAAGTCCTCCTGCATGTATGTCACCCTCTCCTCCACTCAGCAAGCACTGGCTGGGCACCAGCTCTGCACGTGGCACCCGCTCCTACACTGTGGGTGCATCTCTGTTTCCCTCCTGCCACTCCTGTCTCACCTTTCCCTTCTATTTCTTCTCCTGGGACTTGGCACCATGAAGGCAGAGACCGTGTCTGATCAGTCTGTGTTACTAGCAGTTGGCACAGTGGGTGCTGAAAGGAGGCTCTGACTAATACTCTGGAATCTGTGAGTGAGCTGATACAGGGAAGCCTATGGGAAGATGGGCAGGGACGCTGCCCTGGGGACTAGTCTCTACTCTGCTCTTAGATGCATGCCTGGACCTGCAGGTTAGTTCGTGCCTTGATATGGATCCAATGAGAAAGATACTGAAATCACTTAGACAAAAAGTAAATGCAGGGGCCAGTAGGTGGCATGGTGGTTAAGGCCCTGGACTCCTACATGGCTGACTCCGCAGATTGAGCCCTGGACCAGCAGTTTGAAAATCCCCCCAGGCATGTGTGTGCTTCCCAAATCCTGTAAGAGAATGGATAAGAAGGGATGGCAGTGTGGCCATCACCCCTGGGGTTGAGTTCTCACCTTCCTTTTCTCTGTCTCTCGCTGGTGAGTGCACACATTCTATGGCAAAAAAAAAAAAAAAAAACCAACAACAACGAAACAAAAACAGTAAATAGAGGGTCATCAGGTGGCATGGTTGTGAAGGTGGCAGCTGAACCCACATGAGCAACTGCACAGTTCGAGTCCTGGAACTGAGGGTTTGAGAAACCCTCTGTGAGTGTGCATGTGCCCATAATCCCAAGAGGAAAACGGAGAAGGGACTGCAGCATGACCAGCCCCTGGCTTTCTCACCCCACCTCCCTCTCTGGTGAGCACACATGCCCTATATAAGGCTTTAAACATGCCGGTTGATATACAGTGAGTTGCAGCAGTCGCTTGTGACGTGCTGTCTGCCCTCTGGCTGCACAGATCCTAAGTGTACCCACAGCAGAACACGCATCTTCAAGGACTCGCAGCAAGTTTAGCAAGAGCAGCGGTTCCGGTCTGTTTATTTACAGCTGTAGCCCTGGCACCTGTAAACTTGGTGTGGAGGGGGCCAGCATTTGGTGTAGTGGTTACAGCACTGGACCCCCACATGGTCGACCACAACACAAATCTTGGAACTGATGGCTTGAAACTCACGCCAGGTACGAGTTCGTGTGTGCCAAGATCCCAGAAGGAGAATGGAGGGGGGATAAATTGTGGCATGCCCGCCCCCCGAGAGATAATATCTCACTTTCCCTCTGTCTCTCTCCTTTCTGGTAAGTGCACACGCCCTATGGCAAAGACCTAAAATAAAAATAATAAAAAGGGCCAGCAGGTGGTAAGGCGATTAAGGCGCTGGACTCCCCCATGGCTGATCGTAGTATGGGTCCCATACCCGGCGGCCTACTTTCTACTTTCTCACTTCGCTCTGGGTCTCTCTCTCGTGAGTGTATGTGCCTTACAGCAAATTAAAAAATAATAATGAAAATAAAATTTAAAAAAATAAAGTTGGTATGAAGAAGGTGCTCAATATATACTGATGGAAGGTGTTATCTAAATGATGTAACTGACAGTTAGCTTCGAATTTTCTCTCAGATACGGGAATTGTGAAAAATTTTCAGAGGTAAAAAATTACTTCTCAGTCAGGGCTTTCTTTTTTAGAGAGGCCACGTGGGAGTCTCTTCTTGAATGTGCTGGAAATGGGGCAGTCTAGTTACATGACATCCTTAGAATAGCAAAACCTAAAAGAATGGAGAACTTCACAAGTAGGGTCACATTTTACAAAATGCTAGGCAAGGACCACAGGGAAGACGACACCGTCTTACAGAGGCCTGCACTAGGATTCTGTCTATCAGCATCCTACAGCGAAGGGAGCAATTTCATTTCACAGAATGGAGAAAAGAATGTTGCTAGAAATAATCTCTTTCATTCTTAATATCACTGGAGTGGAAGGGTTATGACTCTGGAAGGCTCTTGCACTGTGACTCTCATCTGCTGTGTCTGCCTTGAGCTGTTGTATGCTCTCAGGCATATCTAAAGACCCTCAGAGCTCTAGAATTTCAGCTGAATATGTGTGTGTGTGTGTGTGTGTGTGTATTCGTAACATATACATTCATATATTATCTAATCAGCAAAAACCTTGATTTATGACTATTCTCGAAAAGGCAAAAATATGCTAACGATTGAAATTTAAGGAACAAATCAGCCCACAGACAAAGTCATACAAACACACACACAAACACCCACACACCACACACACACACGTTTGCAAATCAAGAGGTAAGTAAAGAAATGACTCAGTCTGAGAAATTAGTTGCATTCGACTTATAATTACCTTGCAATGCATGGAGAAGATGCTTGGGCAACCTTGAGAAAACTCTTGAAATGTTCATTCAGTGTACGAGAATACTTTATTGCCACATCTTTCTTACATCGGAACATTGCCATGTTCAGAATGGACTGGCAACGCATGCTATGAACAAAACAGAGTTAAAGTGAGATTTCCTTTTTAAGAAAGATTTTTGCTATAAAATGTGTGTGCTCACTGGAATGACAGAGAAAGCAAGAAATCACCCCCCAGGGGGGCTGGCCATGTGGCAATTCCTTCTCCTTCATTCTTCTCTTGGGATTTTGAGCACTCATGCAAATGCTCCTGGCCTGAGTATCAAACCTCTGGGTCTGGGCCCCGAACCTCAGTTGGCCATGTGGGAGTCCAGTGACATAACTATTATGCCATCTGCTGGTCTCAAAGTGAGGTATTCATTACCACATGGTCACAGCTATCACTACCACAGAAAAGTAGCCACCTAACCGTTAGCATTCTATGATCACTCTGGGTTTCCCCTATCTATGTAACAAAGTATATCTCACGAATCTTATGGTAAGGTCAGCCTTCTACCTAGTGTTTAAGAGCGCCAGATGCCCATGTTGACTGCATGGTTTGAATCCTGGTGCTGCTGTCTTGAAAACATGCTGGGTGCATGCACATGAGGCCCAACATCTCAACAGGATGGAGGAAGCCTGGCATGGCCATGCCCATTGGGCATGCTTCTTCCCTCTCTATGTAGCTCTCTTTGGCAAGTGCACATACCCTCTGACAATTAAAAAAAAAAAAAGAAAAAAGGAAGAAAAGAAAGAATCTTACTGTACTATTTATACTGTCACCAAAAGTCAGTACTGATAGAAAAATCTAGAGGGATGTAATTTAAATCATAAGACTAAAGCACTTACTCATCAGTATAAACCAGCAGATGTCATTTCATAATAATTAACTATCAAGTGGGATTAACCCTTGGACCAAAGTATTGACTTGTCTTTTATCATAATATTCATGGTAAAAAAAAAAAAGAAATTTCAAAATCATGTTGTAGCTACAGAAGATAGGATAACAAATTTAATACTACTTAGACAAAGAAAAAAGTACACACCATAAAACAGCAAATATTTTCTTCTGGGTTGGTGGTGTGGCATCTGAGAAGGAGTTTAATGACATTATGAATCTGTAAGACAATGTGAAAGTTCAG